GTGATATTTTTAAAAGTGTAGATGTAGGTTGTCGAACTTACTTTTCCTAAGATTGTCGTGACTTCTTTTCCGTCAGGTCGATGGAAGTCCTTGAATCACAGTAAGTCAAACATAATTACTTACAAACTGGAATATCATCGATACAACAGGGAAGTACACACCTCAATACTGCCAGATGAGTCTTGACTACAGCAGAAGTGACAATCTTTTGACGAACAAGTAGATGCCGTATCACTTGACGCTAGTCCAGTACGTGCAAGTCTATTGAGAAGACGATTATAATCTTCTTTCAATTTATCGAGCTTTTCAGCTGTAGAAAAACACTTCTGAATTGCTTCGTCTCTAGCTTGTACTATGGCGGCCATCTCACGATGTAGTTTTTTCCTCTCCTTAACCGAATGTCTCCATTGCTCTTTAGCATGATCTCGTTCTTTTTTACAGCTTTCTGATTTTTCACCGAGAGCGCTCAACTTAGCATCCAGCTCTAAACATCGTTGCTGTGCTTTTCCAAGTTCAGTTTTAGTTTTCTGAAGCTCTTGTTCTCGATCAARTCGGTACGTCACAATATGYTCATGTTCCGACATTGAATCGATTCTTTCTCGTTCTGTCGAGTTAAGTTGTTCGTTCAGTTCAGCAAAGTCTTCAAGCAGCTTTTCTCTAGAATCGATTTCTTGTTTAATCCGAGTCTCAGCCTTCTCTATTTGGAACACCATATCCTCTCGGCTTGATTTGACCTAAAGAAAAAAATATACCTTTAAACATAGAAAACTTGCATACGCAATACGACGACCATAGCTTCATCTGCGGTACAAAAACTATGTGTTTCTGTCCAGTATAAGTTAAAGCAAAGTGCATGCAATACTTTTCTTTCATTTTTTTTCCTTTKCAGCTACATACGTTGAAGAATTCAATGAAAACCACACACTTTATCTATTCTATTATTCATTTGAATATTAAAATGTTTGCAAACAATGCTCACCTTATTGAGCTCTTTCATTAACGAATCCACTTGATCTAAGGTGCTTTCCCATTTTGTGGCAGCTTTGCCCCATTCCTCCAACGCCCTGTCTCGTTCATTAACGATCTGATCTCTTTGTTCAATAACATGAGCTAGCTCTTCAAGAGCAATTTCTTTTTCAGTTTGTGCAGAAATCAACTTATTTTCTAACACTTCCAAAATGTTCTTTTTCGCCTGATCATCCCCTGAAAGAGCTTCGGAAAGTTGTTTGACGTGTTTTCGTAATGCTCTCGATTCTACAAGTGCTTTAATAGTTGTTTCTTTAAGCTTGTCACATTCTTTACAATGATAAGAGTGATTCATATGAATGGAATAACCACTCGCTGCGAATACGTTCTCTGCGGAATGCTCTTCTACCGGATAAACTATAGTCCGATGTTGTGCCGGCATCCCTTTCAGGCTGGAAGAGTGAGCATCTGTTTCACTGGACTCAACTTCTTCTAGCGGTGATTTGATCGGTCCCTTATAATTTGCACCTATTAACGATTTCAAATTGTCATTTTCTAGTTCCGCCTCATGGAGTTTTGCTGTCATTTCACGGAGTTTTGAGTTCATATCTCTCAGATCTGAGTCAAAACTYTCAACACGTTGTTGACCCTCATTCTTTCCTGCATAATTTGTGGCACGGTCTGGTACACCATCATTACGATCAGAGTCCGAGAAACCACTTGACGTCCTCTCTCGGACATCTTTTCCAGTATTTTCCTTGTGTTTCCGAGAGCTCAACGCAGATACAGACCTAAAAAGCCTTGTRGAGCTTCTCCTGTCTCCTGAAGACGATTTTTTTGGCATCTCGTTGCATGAAGTCCGACTTATTAAAGCATCGTATGAATCTAGAAAAGTAGAAATTAAACAAACCTATATATGAATGAGCAAAATCCATGACATAAATCATTGTTACATGCATAAATCGAAAGAAAATAGCAAATCATTCTCTCTTTCATAACTGATGAGGTGTGAGCGCTAGAAAGTACAGTCTACGATTTGTGTTTAGACAACTGTTTCGGTTTTTATCAGGAAAAATTATAACCATTAAAAAATAGTCCGAATTGAATTTTCTCTGCCTTACAGTGTAAATTTGATATTTCCCAAACCAGTTGGATATTGTTTATGTATTTATTTTTTATGGTAGTTGCAGTATTTGTGGCCATGTCGAAAATTTGCATTTGTGATATTTGTAACGGTTCGATAGATGCAATGGCTATCGCGGAATAAAATTTGTTATTCTTTTTTAATGACGTTGAAGCACTATATCCTCAATTCTCAGGAAAATATACATTATAATTTATGTGTAAGGTATATATATGTATAGTATCTGACAGGTCAAGAATATCAATATCTCAATAAAATATAAYTTTATATATACCTTTCAATCTAAAATGATTTTAAATATCTGTAACGTTAATTATAAGAAGAAAGTCTACTTTCAGTCACTAAAACATGTTTGGTTCTATCTCTGACAATCCTTCATCTGGGAAACAGAAGGTAGAAAACTATAGAAAAGGTCAAATATTAGGCAGCAATGGCAGTTATTCCCATACCGTGTCTTCCAAACTAACACGTACATAGTATACAGAGTAAATAAAATACTCGCTTTCCTAACCAACTGCATAATTGTCGAGAGCAGTGTACTTCAATGATTAGTTCAATCCGGWTATATTGGAGACAAAAATAGAAACAGTTGATCTTAATCGAAAAAAGAGCACAGTTTCCTTAACAAACAGCAACCATTTCGATCCATATGACTCACCTTATAACCTAAAGTGCATTCATATTCATAAATCTAACCAAAAATCTTTATATCATAACATTGACTTCCTTGGAGTTGTCGTAGACTGCTCTAGAAAAACCGTTTCGATAAAGAGAACCTGTAGTTGTGTAGTTGTGTAGTTGGAAGTGACAGGATTTTTATTCTTGTGACAGACTTCTAAACTGCTAGAATGGTTTCTCTGACTGGCTAGACTTTAGTTGATGTCGATCGAAGTGTGTTTTAGCTTTATATAAAGGCCGATTCCTCATTGTAGTGAGGGTACCATGTTGGCGAGCTACACTTATGTAAATGAGCAATGCCTATTGACCAYAGGCGAATACGTAATTGCTRTCGGAATGTCGACAAATATGCAGTTAATCCCTGAGCAAACGAACCGTTTACYARCAATGCTAAACGACAAGTAGTGTTCAATTCGATAGTTTTGMGGTCGAAACTTTAGGTCGAATTATAGAATAAAATTCCACGATCACCCAGTTAGCAGTGGTCMAACCAATCGATAAATGTTCGTATATAAATGCACCTTTGTAGTTGACATCTCACGCTCAGATAACAAATCRCTATTTAACAAGCTATTTTGATTATGAAAGATTTCAATGTAAACTGCCCTGTTTACATCACTTTCACAGTTGAAATGGATTCGAGTACCATTCGYCGTTTTAAAATGGATTAAAGAGGCTTCCGAGCATATGAAGCACGCAGTTCTAATGGTCACGCAACAAATATCACGATTCGTGACAACACGAGGATTTTGAGACCAAGAGATGAGGTGCGGCATTGTGAGGGAGRGGGCYGTTAAAATCGACTATCCCGAAAATCTTATGTACATTATTACGATTGGTAAAAGTTCGGTTTCAATAATATTTWCGCAGAAGAATCTGACATTTGAACATAAATATGCCTATGTACATATACAAGTTCGTTTTAATTGTTTAATGTATTTCGAAAGAATGTTAATATCCGTTGTCAGTCATGTAGTGCCCTTGCGGAATATTAATGATTACGCTTGCCTTCATCTTGATTATATTTTGGACGATATCACAAAAACCTCATCCAATATTTGTGTTAAAAAATATCATACATTGTTTGCATTATCAAAAAGATTATTGCCTAGCCAATTACTTTTTCGAAAATGAGTGTTATGTTGTTTGTCTGATGCAGCATGTCGACCAATCAGATTTTAGATAGTTACATGTAATATAATGTATAATATCAATATTCATCAGTTTTGAAATTAGACTGATTCCATAAGTCGGTCCCAGTCCACTCTCTGTCGTAAATCACGAGTCCGTCGCTATATGTAGTTCGAGCGGCAAACAGAAAAATCGAGGAGCGAATATGCTACAATTCGAAAATGGCCACGCTAAAATTCAAAATTTTCAAGTCCGTCGATCTACAGCTCCACAATAACCCCTGTCTAAGGGCCCACATGCATATGAGAATCCGTTGCACGCAGAAAATCCGACATCTTGTGCCGCTTTAAGCTTTACTCTGATTTTTTTCGAGATAGGTGCTTGCTGGACAGATTTTGAACTAGTTGGATAGTAACAAAAGTTTTTTTTTTCAAAACAAAACACGACCGAAAAGGTTCTCGGGTGAAAATGCGTCTTGCAATGAGAGAATGCTATATTGCTATGCAGACTCTAGTTTCCTCGCAGCCGTTCTTAGTGGCGGGCTCCCTGTCCCCCGCCAGACAGGGACCCGCCACTAAGAACGGCTGCGAGGAGACTATGCAGACTCGTACCTGGATAATCAAAGATAGACCTTCCGYTACTTCCTGTGATTTTGGTATTTTGTGACTTCGAAGTTCTCAAACCAGGAACGGATGTGCATTTCTCACCAGTCTTTGGGGACGGTAAGCTAACCACTGTAGATAGATCTGGAATAGCATGAACGTCAGATGTCTCGGGTAATTGTGTGATTTCAGGTAGTGCAGAGATTGCTGGTACTGCAGGAATTGCGGCGATTGCCGTCACCCGGTTGTGYAGCAGAGAAACGCTAGAAAAACTGTGTGATCTGAGAATACTGTCATCATCTTGTCCATCCTGTTCCGTCGTACCTTTAGAGGGACGTCGACCTAACGACAATTGATAAATCAATTAATCAGTTATAAGTATCGATTGAATTCATTAGACATATAATTAGACATAAAATATAAGTCATGCTCCGTGGATATGCCTAAAAAACCGTCCTCAGTCRTGCCTCAGGGTCAGCCGCACTACTTCTTCGGTTCACTTCTTCAGTTCACTTCATTTCCTCGACATCACCGAGTCCGTACACAGTATGCAGTGCAAACTTCGTTCCCATCCCATATCGTACTCTGCGAACAGAGCAGAGCTACTTTTCTCACCGCCGGCGGCTTACACTAAACGAAGGAATAAGGACGAGGTTGAATGCAGTCGATAAAAATCATTCAAAAWTAYTTTACAAAATAAAATGACGAAATTTTGTCTTCGTTGTCTTCATTCCCAGCTTTCTTGAACATTCGATTCGCGCCAATCTTAACACCTTTGGAGGAAGTTGTTTCTTCGGGCTACCTCTTCACTCTTAAAAYTGGAAGTTGGGCGTCCCACGGTTGACATGTCACGAACATGTGCATGAAAATTTACCAAAGTTACGTAAAATATGAAATTCATTSAAATTGAAAAGTTGTTTTTAGAGAAAACAATAATTTTTTTAAAGGGCACTAAAATTTAGCTCTCAATTTCTCATTTTGACCCAAACTAAAGGGAATCGGGCTTGACGTTATTTGAATACGTGGGGCAATGYTTAGGACAATAAATAATGGCGTTTATTGGAACTTTTTTCAAACTTCATTTAAAGAAAAAATACAGTAAAAACCCGCGTATAAGAACCTAACATTTGAGAACCTTTTAGGCTAAAATTTCATTTTTAAGAACCTTTCACATACGAAGCATTTTAGGCTAAAATTCTAAAACAGGTTCTTATTTTGAAAAAAAGGAAAAATAATCCTCTCAAAATATAGAAAAAAAAATTCTCAAAAATATATTTATACTAACAGTCTGTACACATTGAATATAGTAGTTACAGCATAGTTACATAAAATTTTAACGAGGAACTTTATCATGTCATTTTTTTGTATACATGATTTATTAGGAAATATAGTAAAGGTTACAGAATAGGTTTTGATTTTAACAGTAGTGTAGTATTTTGCTTACCGAAGACTCCAAGAATACTGTTATTACGTGGGCTTCCTGTGGAAGTCCACGTCTTAAAATGCAACTGGCGATTTCGTCGTGGTCGTCGTCGTGAATATTACGCTTCAAATTGGTAGCGCATCGATAGCGCATGCGTTGCAGTCTCAGTTTCCATGG